ACAGACTTAATCCAATCGTTTGAAAACGTCATTAAGTTTGTTAATTAGGATCGTGTTGTTCTTTTGACAAGACGTCATGGCTCTTCAGAAAATCAGACATCTTATTGGTTAAAATGGATTCCATTATTTTACAGTAAAATGGGCGATAGTTGGATGGACTGAGTTTGTCACTCTTTTTAAAAATAGGTGTCCACATTGAAGAAAGTGTGACATGTAAAGGAAGATATCCTAATAATGGATAGAGGTAAGGCCAAATAAGATGCAGATTCTTTTAAAAACATTGGGGATAACTTTTCAATTCCAGGTAAGGAATTTGATTAAAGTTTTTTGACATTTTCATTAAAAATTGCAGATGAGAACTGGACAATACATAAAGAAGTTGCTGTTTGGGCATCGTGATTAACTAGGATGTTTCTTGATCATTATTACATGAGATTTCAGCCCTTATTTTAAAAAGCGGGACTGATACTCTGGAAGATAGAGAGCATCTTACGTGTTTAAATAGCTTCTTAAAGTTATCGCTACTAGCGATATATTCTTCGTATTTTCTTCTTGCGTTATCAATAACATTGATTAAATCGTTGGAGAAACGTCGATGGTTAACAAAATCATTGTCTTTTAGTTGTTTTTCATTTTTTCCACATATTTTCTTATTGTTAATTAAAGGTTAAAGTTATCCATTGATCTAAGATTTTAATTTGTTTTGAGGATATTCTTTGTTTTTTGTGTTGGTTTTCATAATTTTAGATATCTTTGTATGAAATAGTGTCCACACATCTTCTACTATTACAGTACTTCTAAAAAAGTGATTCCAGCCAATTTCGGAGTGGACTCTCTCATTACGTTATTAAAGTTTGTGACACTGTAGATTAGGGGTTTGAATGTTAATTTGCATATTAAATACAATAACGCCATGATGAGATTTACCAGTAGGTGAGTGGACAGATGGAGAAATTAGAAGGTGATCGTCATTTTTTAATATAAGGTCAAGAGTTAAAGGTTCTTTATTTAAGCGAAGGCAGGTAGGTTTGCTTATAAGTTGTTTAAGACTGGTGTCTATAATGAAATTTATAAAGTGTGAAACAGAGTTTTGCAATACTTCAGGACCTGCAGTAAGTAGCCAGGAAATTAAAAGCCCAACTACCACAAGATTTTCATGAGAAATAGATTTGAAAGTATCTCAAAAAGCTGTTGGTTGTTTTCTAGAAAAGTTTTCTTTAAAAGACGATATAAACATATCAGAGTGGTTGAAAAAGATTTGTATGATAGTTTTAACGAGAATAAATCTCTATTGGGAATTTTGATATCTAAAGCGTTGACAGAGTAACACTATTTGAGAGGTCGCTTCTGTAAATTATAAATCCAGGAATGTTAATTAGTGAATCAGGAATAAACAACTTGAGCCAAGTTTCAGAAATTAGAATAATACTGAAATAAAAATGTTGCACTGAGCATAAAACTATTGAATTAAGCAGTTAGAGAATCCAGTTTAGTATGCCTAAGGCTACAATCGTTAAATTGTGGAGGTTGTCGGCTGGCACAATTGAATGGAATTTGTCTTCACAATTTTTGGAATACCGTTACGATATTTAACTATTTTCGTCATTTCGCTTTTTAGCTTTCAATTCATCTCTTAAGTCTTAAAGAAAATGATTTTGGGTAGGGCCTTTGACGTCGATAATGGTAATGTTTTTCAACGTTGCTATTTCTAAGACTGTCTTTTTGTTTCGTAAAACGTTTTTGGCGGCGTGTTCGGAGGCCATAATTACTTTGAGCCATCGGGGATAGCGACTATTTTGTTTAGCTTTTCCGACGCGGAAAAAAGTGACAGGTTGATCCGAAGAATTTACTGTCTTCAGTACATTATTAATTTCTGTAGAATCGTGTCGCTTTTCTTCTTCAAAATTTCCATTAATAAATAAAAATTTTCCTCTTCGCTTCTTACTCTTCTTTCTCTCAGTCCAACCGCATTTGGCTCCTGGTCTTCTATATTTCCTGGTCTCCTATCCCTTGCTGTAACTCCTGCTGAAAATTCTGCCGTAACCTCTTCTTTGCCTGCTCTCCTACCTGGTCTCCTCTAACTACTCCTGCCTTGCCTTTCAATATCTCCTACGTCTCCTTTTCTTTTAAAATTACTTTTTTATTAAAATAAAACTTACTTTTTTCTTCCCATTTTCTTATTAACTTTATTTACCTTTTAATTCTTCAATAAGTATTTATATAATTTCAAATATACCTTTTCTAATAACATTTCCAAAAAATTTCAATCCGACAATCATAATAATTTTTCATGAAAATTCCAAACAAATTTTTAATCTGGTCACAATTCACGATCCAGAACGAATATACACGTCACCAACAGTATAATCACGGAATCATAACAATTAACACTTTTTTAGTTATTAGTATCAGGTATCAATTATCAGTTAAACTACCCATTAATATCAATCGAAAATAAAATATTATTAAAAAAATACTGGCACTACGAAAAATCCCACAAAACCTATGGGATTTTCATGAACTATGGTCTTCTTGACAAAAACGTAAATGTTTTGCTAGCAGTTGGAAAAATGCCTTCCAAGGCAATTCCTGACGAATAATTACTAAATACCATCACACAAGGAGAACAAGCGTAGCCCTTAGGCTGATCCCATTAGGGTTGACTTGCCAAAATTGGTAAAATTTTCTGATCTGTCACGAGTACAACACGCAATCTAAAAAGAACAAAACAAAAGTTTTCCGCAAATATACCAGAGTGATTTTTCGTTGATTAAACTTGAAAAACGACGATTTTATATCTTGATTATACACTGTAAAAATTATTTTTAATTTTTGTTAGTTTTTAGAAGGATAATTAAATTTTTATAGACTGTCAACGTTTTTGATTCATATCAAAACCAGAACAACGCATTGTTAGAAAACTTTTTGTTTGTTACTTTTCAAAAACAACCCTCAATGCCACGTATTTTACTAGCCAACCTCAAGTTGTTTTCCTCTGCAATTCGCATATCTGATCTCTGCCTATTCGGCTTTCATGACCGAGATATCTGATACATTTATCTATTAATTCAATTTCTTGTCCTTGAACTGTTAGTTGTTTACTTGGGACCAGAATGGTCGTAAATTTGGTTTTCATTAGAATCATTTTTAGGCCAATATAAGTAGGTACATGCGATGTTAAGCTCAGAAAGCACGGCTTGATTTTGGGTTAGATCATTATTTAACAAGATAACCTAAAAGCCTTCAAAAAGCGCTTTATAGTGCGATTGTAAATAGTTTAGACAACATTCTGTCCACTCGCTACGAAACAAATAATAGAAAAGCTTGCTTGGGGACCTGGAGAAATAGTTAACGATTTGACAAGAAATAAAATTAAGAGGTATAGCAGACGTTACAAATGTCATAAGACAGCATAAAATTATAATGCAGCTGGGCTGGACACACAACTAGAATATAGAATTAAAATGGACATATAGAGTCTTTTTGAAATAAATATACTTGGTTATTAATTATAAAGTGAAATACTTCCTCTGACAAAAGATTATCGCATTTTTAGTTACAGGTTGCACGTGTTTTCTTATTTCAGTTGCGCTTTTTTGTTGCTTAGAAGCGTAAACCCACATCCCCTTAATGCGATCATGTGTTTTTCACAATTCGAATAAGTTATTGGACTAGATACGTTAGTAGCGGGTGCCGATCTCAACGTTGCCATTCTCGTTTTGTTATTACGTTATCATACAATGTAAACAATTTAAATTATCTATTAGGTACCATTTTGCAATATTTCTATTTATCGGTAATTTAAAACTAGTGTGATTTAATTTAAAAGTTGTTTGCTGTATTACTAGTTGCCTATAACTAATAAAAACTTTTGAAATATTAAAATTTACAAGTTGACAAATTTAAAATCATTTTGATAACTGCCACCTGACATAATAACATGATGTAATTAATAGAGTAGAGCGATAATAGCAGAGTTTTAATAGTTATTAAATGAACAAGTGTATTGATAAGGTCCATTAGCAATCAAGCAGAGCGAGCGCGTTAATGTTCGAGATTGTTAATCGCCATTTTAATTCAAGAGTTCGTTACAGAACTTTTCCGTCGACCGCACTATTCAAAAATAAAGATAGTTTTGAATTTTAAGAAATTTAATAATGACCTACAATGACAGATACAATAACACATTCTTGATTTCAAATGAATATGTATGTTTAATTTCCTACACCATCGGTAACTGTCAATATAAATGTACAATAAGAACAATGTAACTTGAGTTGCATACAATAAAATCGTTGATTAATATAAAATCATTCATAGGGGTCATTAATCACCGATTTTTAGTGCGTTAAAATACATCATAAATTGTCGGTCGATGGAAAAAATTTTAAAATATCTATTTGGAATAACTATCAACAATTACCTTTGATAGTGTTGATAAAAAAAGTATAATTGAAACTTTTTGATCAAATCACATCTTCTGTCCTCTATCGACCTTTGAAATTCGAAAAAAAAAAAAGAAAAATTTAATTTGTTGCAATTATTATTTATATTTGTGAAAAATGGCTTCAAGAAATATTATGCATAACATAATTAATTTATAAAATTTTTTGTCCTATACGTGCCCTTGATATTATAACTTTCGCTATAATAGTAGCTCCATTACGGTTCTGACTTCTTCCGCCTGCGCCCCAAATCACGGAAGGAACCAACGTTTTTTGAGATATGTAATGTAATGTCTAAAAAAAATTTCAGTTTGTGGCAAAAAGCGTCAATTCCTACCGTAACAAGAAAACGTGTTTTACAATTAATAAAAACCCGTCACGACAAGTATTTAAAACTGTTGAGGTATCCCGAAATTAGGAAAAATGATAAGTACAAAATAAGTGTTTCTTATTAGGCTTGTAAATGCAAAATTTTTTAACAATGTTCTTGCGATAAGGAAATAACGGTACCTAAAACTGAATGGGGTTTTTAATAGATCAGAGGGGCCGTAAAAAATGATAATTAAAAGTATTGTTGTACAGGAATCCTCAAAGCTAGTAAATAAGGCCAGCAGATTGGGAAAAGATATGCAGAAGAAAGAACTACAACAATCCATCCAACATGAAAGCAACATCAATTTATCAATAAAGCAAAAGCCAGAAACTGATATAAAATTAGATCATATTTTGCATTTGACTTCCTATTACAGTATCAATACAAAAATGGTAAACTTTTCACCTTGGCCAAAGTTTGTGACCAGTATGAACTATCGAATAGATTTGCTGCAGCAGTGACAACGGCAGTGCAACAAGACCTTGGAATTGTTACCAAAACCAATTCAAAAACCGTAATAGACCGAGGTAAGCTAAGAAGGCAAGAGAGCAACCAAGAAAAAGTTTTACGCAAAACTCTTCAGAAACTTTAAAAATCATATACTTTGACGGAAGAGAAAACCTTCGTTATCAAAAATATTTAAGGACGATTCTCTAGGAACATATTTCTTTAGAGCCGGACTCTATATTTTTAGATCACACAGTACCCCTTTCTGGATCGGCTCTAAGCATTAGTCAAAGTATTTTCAACTTCTTAGAAAGTAATGAATATAATCTAGAAGAACTAGTGGCAGTAGGATATGATGGAACCATGGTGAATACGGGAAAAATTGAAGCAATTGCTCAACTTAAAACAAAATTAGGACGCCCGGCGCCCTTTACAAAGATTTGTCTGCCAGCTTCACGCTAATGAATAACCTTTGAGGAATCTTTTTCAGAAGCTTGACGGTCAAACTATGGGTCTAACTGCTTCTGCAGGGAATATAGGAAATCAAATAGGGCAGTGCCAAAATATTCCAGTTGTAAACTATAACATTACAAGCAGTAGATATATTTAAATTAGGTATCGAAATTTGTATTGCAGTTCTTACAGGAGAGTGCTCCATGGATTTATTTAACCGAAGTCCAGGAAAGTTAAATCAGTTTTGATTGTCCACTTTGGCCAATCGCATTTTAAGTCTTTATGTTAGTATCGAAAATACAACCTCAGAATTAAAGCTAATGACCAAATTTATTGTCAAAGTTAAGTCTCCTTTGTGGTTTCAAATTAAATGCAAAGAATGTTTAACACACAATAGAACGTAGCCGGTACCTACACCAAGATTTGAAAAGTTTTATATACTCTGTAATTAAAATAAATGAATAGTTTTTGATCCGAAAAATCTGGAATGTATGCTGCATGACACTTGTCCCCATATAAGAAAGCTTTCACTTCGCCGCATTTTAAATGCAAAAACTAAGGGCAATAGTTCAACCAATATCCGACTTTTAGTTATTCAACAAATTAATTTTGATGCAGATGACTATGTTGATTTGATTGTTTGGCAAAAAATTTCGTTACTGTTTTATATTAAAAAAATGTTTAATAATTTGTGGCTGTTACTCAATTTTATTAAAATTCTGTCTTTATCTATTTAAACTTTTAAATGGAATACTTTGCATATTAACAAATTTTTGGAACAATTTTATTTTCTTAATTTCAAAAATGTAACATATTTTTTCTAATTTTGATATTTTTGTAATCGCAACAAGTGTCAGAAAATAATATGCCTTGTTCCTTCTACCATATTCATCCCCTAATCATTCCGTGACTATAACGGTGCAGGTAATCGATGTTTTTAATATATTAAAGTCAAACAAAGTCAGAACTACTGATATTTCTAGAGGACTAGGATAAAACTTAAACTTAAAAATTCTTGTTCAAAATATAATAACGGTTTTAATGCAAATATGATTAATGCAAATTGTATAAGAAGTATAAGAATTGTATAACGGTTATAATTAAAAGGATTAATAATGTATATCATAATGAACTTAAATGCATAGGAGATAGATGTTTTGTTTAATAATCGTAAATAGTAATAATAGTAGTAGTGAATTGTCTGTGTAACACTAAAAATAATTAGGCCCTCCAACAACATATTTTTTTTGTAAAAAATACTCCAATACTGGCGTTTATTAATATTACAATCTGAAAGAGTATCAATGAGTAATTTTGTTATTACCTAACTTAACTAGGGTTGCATTCCTAAAAACTAAAGTTCTACTCGCTAGTATACCATAGGGCAGTGGTTCTCAACTTTTTTTCAAAAAAAAAGTTCCTCCTTGCTCCAGCTTCTTGCCAGGTCCCTCCCGTTTTTTTATGGGGCCCCTACAACAAAATTCTCAAAATCATATTATCCTTTCTCTGGCATTAAAAAAAAGGTCCTCCAACCCAAAATACCAAAATCATGAACTCCTTTTAAAAAAATTTAAAGGATACTCAAGCCAAGTCCCTTTGTAGCGATAGGTACTGCTTTTTTATTTTATTTTCGGGGCCTCCACAAAGGGTTTGCGGAGCCCCAGGGCTCCGCGGACCACACTTTAAGCAACGCTGCCTTTGGAAACTTAATGACACAAAAATAACGTGTAACACTAAACCTTACAATGCTTTGTTTTGTTATTAACACAATCACTTGGCTAACTCAAAAGGTTTCACTCTCTTGAGTCTTCTTGTCAGGTTCGTGTTGTCAAGAAGCTGGATCGCCTCAACGTTTATATGTTGGTGGAGCCGTTTTTCGTGACTCTAAGCGAATCTGGTGATAGTCTGGTCAACAGTGTCCATCTCAAAGTTTCGATGAAGGTCGCTGTTTTTAATGTACCAAGAAGCATCTACAATGTTCCTCAATACTTTGTTCTGGAATCTATGGATTATTAGAATATTACTGTAGCTGGCACAACCCCAGAGCTGAATGCCATAGATCCAAATTGGTTTGAGAACTTTTTTATATAATAGAATTTTGTTATATGTAGATAGGCTGGAATGCCTACCAAGTAACCATTTTCTTGAATTTTATATTTAACTCTTTTTTTTTTAACATGTATTTGTAAAACATCCCATTTTTGACACACTTTTCTTAAAACAGTGTTAGACGAGGAGGAACAAATGTCATTAAGAAGGTTTCCTTCGTATTTTTGAATGCTTTTTTATGTTTCATTTTAAGATTTCTAAATTTTTATAATATGCACAGTTTTCGTAATTTCTTCTTGCAAAGTTGCTCTTACTTTAGAAAGACCACATATTCATTTTCAAGAAAAATTATTTAACAGTTTTCGTAATTTTAAAAGGCCAAGTTCTTTTGTATATGAATTAATTTTAACAGATCAATTTTTTACATTTCTACATTTTTGTTACATGCTGTATTTTATGACCTTCCTTTTATTTCAATTGATAAATATAGCTGTTATTAATTTGAGTAACGGAAAAGAATAATTACAATTAGATTCAATGAGAAACTAAATTTCGGAGACAATAACAAACAATAAAAATCTAAACCAAAATTCGAGTAAAATTAATCGCAAATAAGTGAACTAGATTATTTCAGAAAATTGTAGCTGAAAATAAAACATTGTTTAAAGTATCATGGACATCTGAAAACCAATACCTAAAAGAAAAACAAACCAAATTATAGTTGAAAACAAGTGTGATAAAAATGACAGAAACAGCAAACCACTTAATTAAATTTAAAAGCTTTAATAGGATAAGAGTTGAAACTTTAAAACGAATTTCACATCTTATCGTACGTCCATTGACAAATATCACAAATAGATGTTTTCAGGAAGCAAAATTTCCAAATCACTGAAGAGGAATAATTTGAATTTTTTAAACATTTTTTTTTACACTTTAATAATTAGGTTTGAGTAGAGTCGTCTTAAACTTACCAGCTAATTAAAAGATTACAGCCATAAATTATTTTAATAGCCATCCTTTACAATATTTATAATAATCTCACTAATAATAGTTATTTTTTGTATTAAGTTGCTGTAGAATTAGAGAGATATTGCAAGTTCACTTAAGGTCAGCCACTAATAGCGTTGATATTTCTGTATCTGTAACGCGTGGAGGGTAGGTTAAGCCACAGTACTTAGGCCTTATTAGGCCCATTGTGCAGATAGGCACCTCCTAGCTCGTGAGCCAGGCTACAGATTTAATGTAGTTGACAACGTCGCCAAGAGGTGCTTCTCTTATATGGGCCGATGGTAGCCAATTCTCGCCAAACACAAATCTTCTAATAAATAAAAGCGTCGGGCAATCGATGGTCGCATCTTCTTGTTCGCATCCCCTGCAAAGTACGGATTCTGCCAGCGCCATGATATGGAGATGGTTCCGTAGTTGTCAATAGCCAGTCTGAACGCTTGTGATCAGGCGCAGATTCTATCTAGTTATAGTATTTGCTTGTTGTAATGTTATCAATGTTAAAAGCTCTTTGGCAAGTCTGCAGCTTCTTGTTTCGTCCCATCTTTCCTCGAATTTCACAAGAGAATGTTCTATAATTAGGTTTGTCACTACCGATATTGTCAGTCCAATAGAGGAGCCAGTTCCAAAAAGTATTTGCTTGGCGACCTTCTTGGAAAGTGAATCAGCAAGACGATTACCTCTCGATGTGGCGTTACCTTTGATGATCCATCTTAAGTTGACCACATTGTTGACGGATACTTCGTAAAATTCTAGTACTAACCCTGAATATATTCGTGATCTATCCAGGGTGAGAAGTGCTTGCCTGCTATCTGTATAGATTAGCCTGTTTCTTCCAGAGAAAGTACTTTTGTTGATTTATTTTGCTGCTATAAGAATCCCCGTGAGCTCGGTTTAAACTACACTTGCACTACTGCTCACAGTCCATTTTATGTTTAGGTTTAAGTATCTGTGGTATATTTCACAGCCTGAGCCTTGTTTTATTCGAATCTTCGGTGTACATATGAATCGTACCTGCCACTTCTGATTCTTCTATTTGTTCTATTAAAATTTTATATTGCTTATGAAAGATATATCTCGGTGAGATGGATTCCATGTTTGCTTAATGCAGTGGGGGCGTATCGAGCGAATCCTGTCAAAAGCGACACCTCGCCTCACCAGATCCTACATCAGGTTCTATTCCAACAGTGTGGAAACGTATCAATGTCATCAGAGGATCCTCCTTGATGTAAATATCAAGAGGAGTTAGATCAAGTATGACTTCCATGGCTCTGGTCGGTGTGGTTTTCATGGCACCTGTTATGTTGACATGCTGTTCTTTGAATTTGTTCTAGTTTGCGGATAGCTGTCAATTTTTAAGTTTTCGCTACCCTGAAAACTGCATTTTATATTAGCATCGGTCTTATGATGGCCGTGTATCTCCATGCGACTACTCTGGGGAGAATCCCCAGGTACGCCCTACAGTTCGGCGGCATTATTTATAAGCAATAAATGCTCTTTATACTCTGTTTTCTAATTATTGTGAGTTTCATATTAAGTTGCTGTCAAAGGTGAGACCTAGGTTCTTCAACTCTGTTGCAAAATTTAGGTTTGTGTTTAGGAGTTCTAGAGGTTTTAATTCCATTTTCTTCCTTTTTCTTGTTGTTGCTTTTATTTTGACACCTGAGCAAGCGCAGATCTTTTAAGTTCTAGACCGACTTTACTAAAGATGGTGTCCTTAATTGTAAATGTTTAAGGGTAGCAAATAGTGGCGACTTTATTAGTTATCGGGTACGTTTTTCGACATTCGTATTAGTTAGAAATATTTTAATATCATTATCTTTATTATTCTTCTAGAATGGCTATTTCAAATGCCTCTGTATATTATGTACTATTATTGACAACAAAGATAAACTACAATTGAATTTTGTTGTTTTCTTTTGTCATAACCAATAGTTTTTCGGAACTTTAACCCA